TGTGTGTGTGTGTGTGTGTGTGTGTGTGTGTGTGTGTGTGTGTGTGTTAACAAACAATAACAACAAAAAAAGGTTCTCATTATATCGCCCTGGCAACCTGGAACTTGCTATATAGGCCAGTCTGGGCCTGGAATGCACACAGATCTTCCTGCCTTTCCTTCCAATCTCTGGGACTAAAGGCATTCACTACCACATCCAGCAAAAACGGGCTCTTGCAACACACTTGTTGGCTCATAGCCAAGCACTGATGAGGTGGAGACCTCTTTACGTCGCACGTTCAAGCCCTCACCTGCACTTACATCCCCATCAGCCCTCACACGCCATGTGGTTTCTGACTCTCTCTCCACCTCATGTCTGATGCTGACCTCCAGATTGGTGCCATCCCATAGTACCTCACTGCTGTCTCTGAGATGGCTCCGTGGGTAACGGTGCTTTCCTTAGAAGCTGAGGACCTGAGTCCTACCTCCCTTTCCCACAGCATGACGGGCGGTTGTGAGGTTCACGGCTCCTTTCCTTGGGGTTGGCACTAAGTGTGGCCCCTGAGTTGCGTCCTCGGGCTTTCCAGTCCCTCCCTTTAAGAAGGCAGCATCCTTTTACAGAACAACCCTTCCTGTTGGAGTAAAAAAACCCTGCGCCGGCTCCTTTCTCTCAATCCTGTGCCAGTGTGCTTGTGGGAGCCGCACCTCCAGGGCCGCCCCCCTCTCTCCCCCAGGTGGTGGAGTCCTGCCTGGAAGGCGTCTGTAAACCAGACCTCAGGATATATCAGCTGTGCCTGCAGCGGCTAAACCTGCAACCCTCAGAGGCCATTTTCCTGGATGACCTGGGACCCAATCTGAAAGCAGCCGCCAGCCTGGGCATTCACACCATTAAGGTAATCCTGACCATCCCTCGAACCACCAGGATTAGTTAGCACAGGCATGGCCAGGTTATCTTTTCCTGTTTGTGCCTGCAGCTCTCCTTGGTGACTCCCTTCGAGCAGTCATCCTGCTTCGGGCTAATTAGGAAATCTGTAACTGGCTGCTCCTCTCTGCAGTGTGGGAAGGAGGCCACGTGAGGAAAGTGGCCTTTGTCTGGCGCAGACTGTCTGAGCAAAAGCTTTTCTAGATGGGAAGGCCAGGAGCCACCAGCCACATGGGTCACTTTAGGTCATGGCCGTGACGCATGGACGCCATGTGCGGTGGGGGGTTCCCAGCCAGTTTTGTTCATCTGGATTTTCACTGTTGAACTCACAGGCCACAGAGACAGAGCCACCATTCCAGCCCAGCCCTCTGCCCTCTGTGCAAGAATGATACAGGCCTTTTCGTTTGTTCATTTGTTTTAGATCGTCTCTTTGTATCCCAGGCCAGCCTTGAGCTCCGGATCCTCCTAGCGTAGCTTCCCAGATTGTAGGGTGTGTCCCCGTCCCGGCCTCTTGAGAACCTGTGGACGGTACTCTCCTGTGAAGGCAAGGCTCGGGGTTAGATGGAAGAGGAAACTCATTGTGCTTCCTCTGAGCTGAGCAAAGGCTCCGGTGGCCATTGTCTGAGAACCAACTTCTGGGCACTTCCCTCTAAGGCCATGGTTCTCAACCTGTGGGTCACAACCCCTTGGGGGGGGGGTCCAAATTGCCGTTTCACAGGGGTCACACATCAGATATCCTGCATATCAGCTATTTACGTCACGATTCATAACAGTGGCAGAATTATAGTTATGAAACATCAATGAAAAGTTTCTGGTTGGGGGTCACCACAATATGGGGAATTTTATTAAAGGAGCACAGCATTAGGGAGGTTTTGAACCACTGCTCTCTAAGGTGTGGCCCTCTTGGAGACAGGCAGGCTGAGGGCCAGGCTGATGGGAACAAGTTGTGACTTTTTTTTTTTTTTTTTTTTTTCTGAAACGAGGTTGACCATCCCGAGACAGCGGTGAAGGAGTTGGAAGCTCTTCTGGGGTTCCCGTTGTGTGGGGGTATCCCCAACACTCGTCCTGTGAGGAAGACCATGGAGATTCCAAAGGATGCCCTGGAGAAATACCTGAAGGGCTTGCTGGGGACCCACAGCACTGGTAGGGAAGCTTTCCTGCTTAGGGGTCCCCTCCACACACTGCGGTTATCACTTCCCACCCTGGTGGACTGTGTGGGCGCTGTTATGGCTCCTCCCACCGCAGTACTCCGTCTCTGAGTCTGGTGGGGCAGCCTTTGCCTCAGACTCGCCACCGAGGTGGAGGGAGCTTGGAGATGCATTGTGCAGTGAGCCGTTCTGACTTTTGAGACAGCGACTGTATGTTATATGAATTTAGAGACTGGGAGTCCAGCTCAGTGGTAGAGCACTTAACCTAGCATGGGTGAGGCCCTGGTTATGGCCCCACCACCACCACCACCAAAAAAAAAAAGGCTGCATGATTTAAAAAGTGGCAAGGCGGCTCCCCTTCCCCGGTCCTCCTCTTCTCTGTATTCTGCCCTCTGATGGCATCTCAGAGCTTTGAAAACTTTCCTGGTGAGTCCCTTCCTTCCCCCAGCCTGGTCCTCTCGAAGGCTCTTATTTATAGTTTCACAGTATGCTGTTTCCTAGCCTTGGGTTTCTTGGCAGCACACCCAGAGAGCTGAAGAACCCCCTAGACCATGCCAGCCAATGGCCAGCTCCCATGCCTGCTCACTCTCCTGCCAAGTGGGACAAATCTTGCTATGCAGCTGGGGTGGATGAGGTCTGCCTCTCCCAGGAGCCTGCGAAAGAGCCACAGACCTTAGCCTAGAGGCTGGGAAAGTGGGTCTCCTGTGGCAGCTTGGGCTCTACACAGCTCCTCTCAGCTGCCACGTCAGTCTCAGGCGTGGTTTGGAAGGACGTGATGAGGGACGTACAACGGCACTTTTGATCTCAGGCATAGGACATTCCATGGGGCCAGATGTGTTGCAATGACAGCTAGGACCGATAAACAGAAGCCGAGAGTCCGTGTTCACTAGGCAGGAGTGGGCAAGAGGCAATACACCCAACAGAGAGAAGAGGTGACCGCTGTGTTAAGGAGGTGGCCTTGGCTGCCCTGCAACAGCGTGTGCCTCTGAGTGTATAAGCCTGGGACTCAGTCGTCGTACCCTGGGGTGGGGAGGGCGGCATCTCTTTTTGGGTACCGTACAGGAGGAAATCAGACATCCCAGAGGCACACCTCACTGGGCAGAAGGAGTTCCCGTCTGTCCAGATCTGGGTTCCGGATCCTCTCTGAGTGCTCTGTATTGTCAAACCTGCAGGGCCCATGGAGATCCTTCAGTTTGACCATGGACAGTCAAATCCAACGTATTTCATCAGGCTGGCTGACCGGCAGCTGGTTCTGAGGAAGAAACCCCCAGGGACCCTCCTTCCCTCTGCCCATGCCATAGAGAGGGAGTTCAGGTATGTTTCTGGAGGTCAGAGGGTGGTTGTCCAGCTGGTGTCCCCAGCACACAAGCTCAGTCCTAAACTGTCAAGGCAGCCTCAGTGAGACCGCCCTGAAGTCTCTCCCTCCTTTCTCCCCCCCCCCTCCAGAGCTGAGGACCGAACCCAGGGCCTTGAGCTTGCTAGGCAAGCGAGCTACCACTGAGCTAAATCCCCAGCCCCAACTCTCCCTCCTTTACAGAAACATTTTATTTTTAAGTGTGTGTGTCTGTGTGTGTGTGTGTGTGTGTGTGGCGGGGGGACTGCCCATGGAGGCAAGAAGAGGGTGTTAGGTCCCCCGGAGCTGGAGTTACAGGTGGTTATGAGCTGTCGTGTGGATGTTGGTGGCTGAACTTGGTCCTCCGGAAGAACATAGCAATACACACTCTTCTTATTTTATGCGTATGAATGTTTTGCCTGCATGGATGTATGTCCATTTACCACATACCCGTGGAAGTCAGAAGGTGCTGGCTTCCCTGGAACTGGAGTTACACATGGTTGTGAGCTGCCATGTAGGTGCTGGGAATTGAACTCGGGTCCTTTGCCAAAGCAAGCTCTTAGCTACCCTCTTCAGTGCTCTCAACTACTGAGCCATCTCTCCAGCCTCACCTAACCCCCGGCTTTTGTTCTGAGACAGGGTATCACTGTGTGTCCCCGACTCACTGGCTGTATAGACTAGGCTAGCATTGAACTCACAGAGATCCACCTGCCGGTGCCTCTTATGTGCCAGGACAAAAGGCATGTGCCACTATGCCCAACTGCCCTGAAGCTTTTAAAACTGTGATTATAAGTCTCCACCAGATGAGAACATGCTACCCACCTTTTTTCTTTTCTTTCTTTTTTCTTTTCTTTCTTTTTTCTTTTCTTTCTTTCTTTCTTTCTTTTTTTTTTTTTTTTTTTTTTTGGCTTTCCAAGACAGGGTTTCTC